GACACTGATAATGATCATCACTGTTGATGATCTGCAAATTAGAGGAGTTTCTGAGGGATCATGTGACTCTGACTGTGTGTTCACTGCTTGTGTGTTAATCTGGTTAGTGTTGTGTGTGTGTGTGTGTGTGTTTGTGTGTGTGTGTGTCTGCAGGGTAAGAAGGAGCTGCAGGTTTCTCTGTTCCAGACTCTGGTTCTGCTGATGTTCAATGAGTCTGACGAGTGTTCAGTGGAGGAGATCAGAGTGGCTACAGGCATCGGTGTGTACACACACACACGTGCAGACAGACACACACACACTCTTTTTATACAGTCACACAGCATGCGCACATGCTTTCTTTCACGCACACATAAAAACGCACATTCACATAACACAAACAACGATGCTTACACACACACACACACACACACACACACACACAGATGCATTACACATACTCTCCTTCTCACACACAACACTGTAATGTTTGTGTGTTAATGGTCAGTGACTGTGATGTTTTCTCTCTGTGTGTGTGTGTGTGTGTGTGTGTGTGTGTGTGTCAGAGGAGGGCGAGCTGAAGCGTACGCTGCAGTCTCTGGCGTGTGGTAAAGCTCGAGTGCTCAATAAGACCCCCCGAGGGAAAGAGGTGGAGGACGGAGACCGCTTCCACTTCAACAGCGACTTCAGACACAAACTGTTCCGCATCAAGATCAACCAGATCCAGATGAAGGAGACGGTGAGCGCATGCATGCATGCGTGTGTGTGTGTGTGCGTGTGTGTGTGTGTGCGTGTGTGTGCGTGTTTGTGTGTGTGCGTGTTTGTTTGTGTGTGTGCGTGTGTGTGTGCGTGCGTGCGTGCGTGTGTGTGTGTTAGTGGCTCACGTGGACACAGCGCATATAAAGATGAGTTCATGTAATATGTGTGTGTGTGTGTGTGTGTGTTCAGGTGGAGGAGCAGGTGAGCACCACCGAGCGTGTGTTTCAGGACCGTCAGTATCAGATCGACGCGGCGGTTGTGCGCATCATGAAGATGAGGAAAACACTCAGCCACAACCTGCTGGTGTCTGAACTATACAACCAGCTCAAGTTCCCTGTCAAGGTGATGCGCACACACACACACACACATATATATACACACAAACATACACACACTCACATAAGCTCTCACACATGCACACACACACACACACTGACCCACTCTCTCACACACACAGAGCTCAATCACCATCATCAGTGTGTTGTCTGCAGTGTGTATGTTCAGACGTGCTCTTGATGCTGTGTGTGTGTGTGTGTGTGTGTGTGTGTGTGTGTGTGTGCGCGCATGTGTGTGTGTGCAGCCGGCGGATCTGAAGAAGCGTATCGAGTCCCTCATCGACCGGGATTATATGGAGCGCGACAAAGAAAACTCCAACCAGTACCACTATGTGGCGTAGGAGGAGCCGGCGCTGACCTCTGACCTCTGCTGACCCTCCTCTCGGGTCACGTGACCCCACAGACGCTCGGCACTCTGGGACGGAGAGCAGCTTCAGCATGATGCAGAGTGACTTCACTAAACATGCACTTTCTGTCACTTCCTGTCTGTCGGCTCTTTGACTTTTCAGTTTAGTGTGTGTGTGTGTGTGTGTGTGTGTGTGTGTGTGTGTGTGTG